CTGAATCTATCACTCTGAAAGGTTTTAGTTGCACTGTAAGTAAAAGTTGCATTTCAAGTGATCTTTCCTATAAAGACCTAAATCAAAGGCACCTCTTGTACCAGACAAGATAGTTACTGGGAGACAGGTTTTTCCCTTTAGCTATAAAATATATTATTTTACACAAGACACCGTTGAAGAACAATGGCTCAAGGTTCAGATACTACTTTTCCAATTTGTGATTTAAAAGATGCTCATGCATGGCACCTGTTTTACACTCATCACATGCTTAAACACATGCAAAAGACAAAACAAATTTTAATTGGAGCAATCTTTTATTTTACCTTTTGCAGGGAAGGGCAAAGGCAGCTAACTAATGGTATTTTTTAATATCAATATTATTTCTGTGTTATATTTGGACCATGTAATTTAATGCACATCACTTTCTGAGGAGAAAGCATAAGGTAGCTGACACTGAGCTTCCTCAAATGAATGAAGCTGTTTCACAGTCTGAATGAAATCTCTGGTCAAGTATTACCTAGAAACCATGGTATAGCTCAGGACTTTCCACAAGACCCAGACTTGAAACACTTTGGACACGTGAAGTCCCTGAAGATGGGGATCACTGAAATTCTTGAGGCTGAAAGCTTTATATGAGTATTAACAAAAACTGTGTGCTTTTATTTCTTGCAACAATACATGCCAACTGCACCAAAACAAGCAAGCAGGTAGTCTGTCAAGCCAGCAGCCTGCTGGCCTTATGCAATGCACATCTCAGCAAACACACTTTTCTGTTTGGATTTTTTTACTGTACCAGAATCACTGATTGTCTCTGGTGACACTATCTCCCCCGCTGGCTTCTCACGTGGCACCAGTGGTTTAGGATACTTGTACGCTACAAGGAGTTTTCAAAAGCAAAACAGCAATAAGTCATTATTTGAAATCTTCCAATCAATCCTGGAGCACTGGCCAGCAAGGAAAGATCCTTTTTAAATATTAAGACTGGATTTTTCCAGGTTTTACAACAATCCCACTTGAGTGTTTGCAGGCTTTCCTCTGCAAAAACACAGGGCAAAGCTTCTGCATGACAGCAGAGAACTCTGACTAGAACCTGCCTTAAGTTCTGTGAGCAAGTAAGATTTCAGAACATGGAAGCAAACCAAACCACAACAGATGAACCAAGATGAACTTCAGGAAACAGTACATTGCTGCAAGTGGCTCAGAGGTAGACTGCTACATTTGATATCTTCAGAGGGCAGTTTCAGACTAGTTTTACCATGAGTGACCAAGCACCAATTTTCTTGTTTATGACAGTAAATCTCAGCCCCTAAATCACAGAATAGTTTGCGTTGGAAGGGACATTAAGGATCATCTAGCTCCAGCCTCATGGGACACCTTGCACTACCTGAAAGCCCCATCCAAGCTGGCTCTTCACTTCCAGAAAAGGGGCAGTCTCAACTTCTCTGAGCAACCTGGCCAGTATCTCACCATCCCCACAGTAAAGAATTTCTTTATAGTATCTAATCTAAACCTTCCCTCCTTGAGTTTAAAGCCATTCCTCCTTTTTCTATCACTATACACCCTTGTGAGAAGTCCTTCTCCAGCTCACTTGTAAACACCCTTCATGCACTGAAAGGTGCTATAAGGTCTCCTCAGAGCCTTCCCTTTTCCAGGCTGAAGAACCCCAACTTATTCAGACTGGAAATGAGGAGACTGACTGGAGACCTATAGCTTCCTCATGATGGGAAGCAGAAGAGCAGGCACCCATCTCTTCTCTCTGGTGACCAGTGACAGGACCTGAGGGAATAGCATGAAGCTGTGTCAGGGGAGGTTTAGGTTAGATATTAGGAAAACATTCTTCACCCAGAGGGTGTTTGGGCACTGGAACAGGCAGTACAGGGAAGTGGTCACAGCACCAAGTCTGCCACAGCTCAAGAAGCATTTGGACAATGCTTTTGGGCACATGGTGTGATTCTTGGGGACGTCCCGTGCAGGGCCAAGAGTTGGACTTGATGATCCTTGTGGGTCCCTTCCAACTCAAGATATTCTATGATTTTGTGATTCATGAGCTTCAGATGTTAACAAAAATGATCAGCAGAGCCTGGGTAGCACTTTTCCTTCTGCACTCTGCCTTCATGAAAGGGTTCCAGGATTCAGGGTGGGAAGCAGTGGGTCTATTTTAAAAAAAGAAGAGGGTTTCAAAATCAAAAAAGTAGCAGCACATCTTTCCATCTGAACCACGATACTCTTTTCACCACCAAGTATTTCTAACTCAGCAGTGAGATTAGCAATAGTCCTGGCGTGTGGTGTGATGGCCTAAGAGTACAAAGAGACTCATGCAGGCAGGCTGGCAAGGGTTTGTCATTTTACCAGACTGACAGGGCACTTCAAACTTGTGCATCAGATCCTTGCCAGCAGTCTGCCAGAAGACTTTTCCTACGATAGCACTCAAACACTAAGAGTTCAAAAAGCTTCTTGACTCAGGACACAGGAGGGAGAGAGGTAGATGATCTTCCTCCACACAAAGCACAGTTTGCCTGCAGATGTTGGGTCTGTAAAGGAGAGACAACTGTCCTCACCAGGTGCCATGGTGCCAGTCAAACTGTGACAGCAGGACTGTTTTTCTCTCCCAGCTCAGGGGGCTGGGCAGTCCTTACAAGAAACCTCACACTTGCACTGTGACATCACTCTTCAAACAAGACAAGTACTTCCAGAAGGATCGAATTATGCTTTGTTTACACAGATTCAGTTCTAACAAAAACAGGTACTAAAATCTGAGTGGTTCTAAACCACTATGGCAGATGAACTAGTTTGTTCGTATTACCAAGAAGCATCTGACTCATGCAACAAAGGGAATCTTTTTCCACAGAAGATTATGCTTGCAGCATCTAAAAACCGCAGTGAAATCCGTTTGTCTCTGAAGACATTTGCAGTCTTCTGAGTTAACGTTTTCTTGCAAAGCTGTGGAAGTAGAGGCACAAAGGCTAGAACAGTCCCTATGCTATTCCAGTAAACTGGAGAATTCATAAATTTAACACCAGACCATAAACCAGAGAGGTTTCTTCTGACACTGAAGATTTCACTCAGCAATGGCTAAAAGGTTGCAAATTCCCCCAGAGATTTTGCCCCAGCTGTGAGCCTGACTGAATGCATGGAGGTGGAGCCCCTCACCTGCACACTACTTTTATTTTTGTTAACAAAGACAAGATGCAGCAATTCAAAGTTATGAACAGTTTTCTGTCAGAATGCACCAGCCTGGTCAGATTATTTATGTATATCACATTATCATGACATTCCAGTGCCTTCAAAGAGAATCTAGCTAGAGACTGCATTCTCCATGACCTGCAAATTAAACAACAAAACTAGCTGTCAAGACTGCATTCCTACGGTGATTTTGCATGTTTTCCAGTTAATACACAACCTCAACAGGCAGAGAAACAAGCGATTCCACTTCAAAAGACCTTTTACTTCATGGTCACATCACAAAAGCCTTCCATTTAAACTATAAAATTCAACTTGGTGCTTTAAAGGAATTGTGTTCAACGTACATACATTATATATTGAAATATCTATTTTATATATTCTATGCACATATATAGAGTATATGTATTTTATGTATATGTGCACAAAAACGGGAACACAGGAATTGTTTTCAAACCTTTGCAACAAAAGACGGAAAAATAATGGATTCTCTCACTATCAAGAACTGAGATTTCTTAGAGGCCCTAGAAAGCCACTATGTTAGTATTATTAATGGAGATTGGTTACATCTGGGCTCAAGAATATTCTAACACAGCATAGGTAGAGACCAGGAGTGCCCTAAGAAGAAATATAGCCCCAGCAGACATGCCAAGCTTAGTATTTCTTGCCCAAACAAGTCAAACCCTTTAGTATTTTTCCTCCTTGTTGCCAGGCTTGCTGCACTGCTTAGAAGTGCAGCTGTCATGAATCACTTCGTATCTTACACCGGAAACTGAAGGTAGAAAACCTGAATATAAGACCCTTAAGAAAGAAGTTACATCTTCTTTCCAAATACCACTCTTGTCCATGGAAAATTGCAAGAGAAGGTCAGAGTCATTAAATCGTTCTCCATATTGCAAATAAGATTTTACACTTTCATCTCTACCACCCAAGAAAGAAGCAACAGGAAGGAAGACCTGACTGTCTGTTGCCAACACAACTAAGCCCTGATTACAGGGCACCACTTCCACGAACAGGAAGGCAGGGCTAGTACATTCAAAATGAACTGGCCAACTTGCTACTTCAGTGTTCCTGTAACTATGAAAGAGAAACTACAAATCACTTGTATTCGAGTCCACATTATCATCTCAGTTTGGTGTGGCTGGGTGCAGCTGACATACTTACAAGAAACACGAGCTAAAATTAAAAAATTTTGTTTCAAATCTCTTCCTGAGAAGACGTGAGACCTTATTCACCTTTCCAAGACTGAAAAGGGGGGAAAGGAAGAAAACAAATCGTAACAACAAAAATTTAAAATTGTTTAAATGCAGAAGGAAAACTCAATCCAGGGGAGAAGGATTTGCAGCTGTCTTCAGAAAGAGCAGCTTGGTGATGTTTTGACAAAATTTTAGGACAGTAAGATAGTGATTACAGTCTAAATCAGGGCAGTTCTCAAAACCTTTTCTAAGAACAAATCCATCGAGTCTCAGTTTCAGAGTCTTCCCCCCAACTTCTCCTATGCATCTATTAATTTAAACTCAGGCTGTCAGCCCTCCCCCCGCCACAAGCTCACAGACAGAGCTCCGTCTGCTGATGCGCTAGAACAAACAGCAGAACCTCAGAGTATCAGTGAGCTACACTGCTTGAACAACCACTAGTGCCTGGCATCTGGAAGCTCTATAAACATCCAGGCAAGATAGGTGACAGGTGATGGCAGGAACACATTCACAAACCTCTCCCCAGCTACAGTTTTTGTGACTATAGCGCAAAGAGATGCTTTAAGTTTCAAAGCCACTTCAGAGACTCATCTAACTTACAGGTAACAGCTATGGCTCACCTACCTGAGGACTGTCCTTCAGCGTAGCAGCCGTGGCAAGAGATGGGTTTCCCTGCAGCCTCTGCCATTAGCGGAGGCCACAGATAGTGTGTCCTGTCATATTTCACGCTAGGGCAATTAGTTGATGGATCTGCATCCTTCTGGTGGTAGGCCTGGGAATGGGCTGAGGAACTTGCCCCATTTGGTTCTTGATGTGCCCAGGTCTCCCCATATTGCTGACAGCTTCCCCTAGCTGATAAGGGGTCTGTTAGGGCACAGAAGAGGTAGTGAAGGAAGAAGGTCAAAACTTAACCCAATAAGGACTGTGTTAAGAAGGGTATGGACTAAGACCTCCCTTTCCATAAAGAATTATGAAAAGATCACAGGCACAAAACAAGCTTAAGCACAGTGGCAAAATGGCATAGGCACTTCATGATCGAGGAGAGACTGATTTTTCAGACTCAAACAGAACACAGGAATTTATTTAGCAGGTAGACAAGAGAATCTGAAGACTGCATTCAGATCACTTGCATTGCAAATCAACACAAAAGTACAACTACCAACCTCATCTAAAGAATCGGCTGCAGGGAGCTACAGCATGCGGCCACCAAATGAGCAGATTGAGAAGAAACCCAGCATCTAAAACCATTTTGTCTTGATTGAACTCATCAGCTGTAGAAATCAAAAGTGACACTAATAGATCAGAGAAAATACTTGGAAAGCAAGGCACAAATACCTCTCCCCCTCACCTGCTACTCACACTCACAACCTGCATACTTAATTACATCATTCCTACACAATCACCATTTCAACTATAGGAAAGGGCAATCATACAAAACATTATCTAAATATAATAAAGCATTTTAAGTACAGAGTATCAACATCTAGCTCAGACACCATACCATTTTCTTTCGATTGCAGCCCTTCTATCCACTATGTCTTCTTCTGGCACTCCTTAGTGTTGAGAAAAATGCACACATCTGTCGCTTCTCAAGAGCCTGGCTCCACATTCACTGCCTTTCTTCATGTAAAATCTGAACCTTGTCAATATCAATCCTCTACAAAAAGCAGCTATGGGCAATCCATCCCACCCAGGGACTTCTGGCATTACTGTTCCCTTCCTCAGCCCAGAGCACCCTGCACATGAGACCATCAAACAGGATTCAGTGGTGGAGGCATCTGGTGAAAGCAGAACACCTGTTTTACCAGCATAAAGGGATTTCTGTGCCCCATGTCCTCTCCTGCTCACACTATTTTAGTCCACTAGAATATCAGGGAATGTACACAAGGTGCACACTGCAGCTTTAAGATAGGGTTTTTTCTCTAATTTTTATTCAACAGACTTACTAGAGGCCCTTCCAAGTTTTGATGTTTCTTTTTCCACAACACATGAAGAAACAATTTCTCAGAGTTAAATGCTGACAGCTGTTATACTGCAGTCTGGTAAAAAAAATCCACGAATAGAGCTGGCTAAAGGTAAAGGTTATCTACAAGATAAGTCTTACCAAGCTACTGGATGGGCAGATCAAGAATCTATCTCCAAGGACTGAGGTCTGATGGCATTACACAACTCTGTGCAGCATTCATCTGTGAGACTATGAAGCCCACAGCTGAGGTTTTGCTGAAACAAGCTCTGCACAGAGATTAATGCTTACAGTTTCAGTGAATTGCAGCTTACTAGTAAGATCCCATGCACTGAAGTCTCTAAACTGAAACTAATGCTTTTGTTACTTTGCTTCTAAACCTTCAGACATCAGAAAGTCACAGTATTTTACAGAAATACTTTCGTATTATAGTTAACAGCATCTGAGCAACAAAATATTACAGATTTATCTGTGTATAACACTTGAGACATTATATTGAAATACATTTTAAAGTCTCATTTTGATATCCACGATCCTGTGGGTACACAAATTCGTCCGTTTCACTTGAGCAGTAACTGCCGAGACACAAACACAAAAACCTCAGGGCAAGAGCCCTTCCGAAGCTTGAAAGGATTTACTTAGGAAGAGTATTAGTTGTTAGTATTCAAAAGTTAGTGTCAACTTACAGCTCAAAGCATACTTCCCACTATGTCAGAAAACAAACACAACTGATTCATGCTCTAGAGAACAGAACTGCTCCCAAAATGAACCGTCTAAGCGAACCACTCTGACTAGAAATAGTAGTGTTTATATGCAAGTGTGCTATAAACAAAACTATAGAGTACCTGAAAGGCTTTGGTCTCTTCACAAAAACAGCCTTCCTACAGGGAGCCCTGGACCTGTTCTCTGCCCACCCCAAGATTCCTTCCAGACATCTACAGAAGAGACACAAGGCACAGAAATGCCCTTTCCAAGGGCAAGCTACTATCAAAGTCACAAAGAGGCCTAGATCAAATGCACACTGATCTCTTAAGTACCTGCTATCATCTTCGCTGCAATAGGGATTGTAAATTACAGCTAAGGATCAGAACCAGAAGTAACGAGATTGCAATTAAGAGGATTTGCTTTCGTCAGGTTTTGATTTAAGGAATGGTGTCAAGTTAGCCAGAAGAGTTGAATCAGATGAAAAAAATCACGGTGAACCACTTTAATTGGCTCGCATAGCACTATATTCAGAGACACACCTATAAACTTCCCCGCACAGGCACCAACCCTCCCAGGCAGCAGCGCCGGCAAAGCGGCGGCAATTCGTGCGGGGAGGCGTAATTCATGAATGAGCTCCCAGAGCAGCAAACCAGCGTCTCCTAAGAGGCCTGAAATCAATTTACTGCTGCCCTGCTGTCGGGAAGGTTTCGTGAGACGCTTTGCTACTCCCGTTCCAAAAAGAGGCCACTTGTGCCTTCCCGAAACACCTGGTGAGATGACACACACCCCGATGGGCACACGGGGTCGGTTTAAGCTCTGGAGGTGCTGCAGATGCTTCGGGAAACTAAATTTCAGGTCGTGTACTTCATTTACACCTGACTATGTTAACACACTCTCAGTGCCTTATCCTGCTGGAGTTTCCTACTGCTCGGCCGCCCGAAGGCGTCAGGCGAGTGGGACCCGACACCGCCAGCGCCGAACTCTGGGAGCTCAGACCCCGCTCCGCCCGGAGCTCCCACCGCCCGCGCG